CCTGGGCTTTGTTTTAAACAGACGATCTTGAATTATGTAGTCCAGGCTGGCCTCAAACTCATGGCAATTCTGAGTCTGGGATTGTAAGTATGCACCGCCAGGCCTGGTTTGGGATTTAAAGGAAATTAATTATTTAGCTGGTTCACAGGAAACTGAGTTCAAAAGAAAATGGTCAGTTCTGCATTCCTCAGTTTTTCCAAGTCCTGCGAGAAGGTTAGGATGTCAGCTAATTTAGGGTATCTTCCTGGAGGAAAGGTCCTTATCTCTCTCTCTCTCTCTCTCTCTCTCTCTCTCTCTCTCTCTCTCTCTCAAGTTTTTTTCAGATAGCTATGTAATTCTGGCTGGCCTTGAATCTTGAACTCACTATGTAACCCAGGCTGGCCTCTAACTTGCAGTGGTCCTCATGACTTGGCCTCCTGCATGCTGAGCTTGCACCTGTGTACCACCACGCTGGCATCTTAGATCTTTTTTATTTTTAATCCTCTTTTTTCGTGGTATCAGAGATTGAACTTGGGACCTTGTGCTTGCCAGGCAGGCACTTATATCACTGAGCTATATCCTTGGACCCTTTATCCTCTTTTTCTGTTTACCTTTGCATCTCTAAACTGGCTTATTCTTTTTTTTTTTTTTTTTTTTGGACTCAGGTCTCACTATGAGGTTCAGGCTGGCCTCAAACTCACAGAAATCTTCTTGCTTTAGCTTCTGGAATGCTGGGATTATAGGACTGCACCAGCACACCCAGCTAGCTCAGCTCCTTGCATCAATTCTTAGCCCAGATGGGTTTTTCTTTTATCTGACTGTTTCATCTGGCTTTTTTGAACATCTACTCCTAACTAAATTAAGCTACTACAAAATGACATGTTAAAAGATAGCTACAAACTGAATTACTCAAAAGAGTTCTGTAAACTGAATTAAGGTATGGCTAGGTATTAGGAAACTATCAAAAACTTAAAAAAAAATAGATCAAATGCCAAAGTTTTGGGTAAAAAAACAGAACAGCTGGTTACCAGTCCTTCCTCCCTCTTATCTCTGTGGTGCTACAGATGGAGCCCAAGGCCTCATATATGCTAGGCTGCTGCTCTACCAGTGAGCTACACCCCAACTCCAGCCCTTTTTTTTTTTTTTGCAGAACCGGGGATTGAACTCAGACCCTTGCACTTGCTAGGGAAGCGCTTATTCCACTGAGCCATCTCCCTGGCCCCTCAATTATTCTTGAAGGGATTTTTGATGTTGCATTTCCTGGCAAACCCACTGATCATAAGGGGCAGAGTTTGACTAAAAGTTTAAGGTACTAGCTTGTACACGGATATACAAGGTACCACAGACCACAGCGACAGTACTTCAGAAGGGTCTGAGCCTGGCACCTGAAAACTGGCCTTTCTGGCACAGATTCAGACTCCTCCCTGCCTCCTGGTTGTGACTCAAAGATTTGTGCAAAGCTGATATACACCCTCAGGCCAGGGAATAGAGGGATTTTTCCTACAGCCATTCCTTCTACCTGCCTTCTTTAAAAATATGAAGAATACACTGGATATGCAATGTGTCTTACTTCAAATACAGATTACTGTGATGAACAATTTATACCCAATTTATTTAAACAGTTGCAGGATATTCCAATGTATGTAAGTCATACTTTTGTAACCCAATATATATAAATCAGCGTCTTCAGTTTTCTGCTAGCAGAGATATCAGAAATATTGCATTAATAAGCAAATTTATGTTAAATTTTTGGTTTTTTTTTTTTTGGTGGCCAGCTCACCCGCCCAGGGGTGGGGCTGGCACTGCATGTGGTCTGGCGCTGAATGTGGTGCTGAGGATCGAACTGTGGCCCTTGAACCTGACTAAGCTTGCCTAATCAGGTGTTTTAGACCACTGAGCCCTAAAAGAACATTTTTTTTTTTTTTTTGAGACAGGGTATTGCTATGTAGTTCAGGCCTCACTAGGTACCCCATGCTGGCCTCAAATTCATGTGATCCTTCTGCCTCAATCCAAGTGCTGGGATTACAAGTATGCACCACCACACCCACCTAAAAGAAAAAACAAAAACAACTAGATAGGGTTTCTCCCATACAGTTCAGGCAGGTTTTGAATTCATTAAGGAGACCAGGCTGGCCTTAAACTCATGGGCGATCCTCCTACCTCAGCCTCCAAATGTTGGATTATAGTTGTATGCCACCATGCTTTGTTCTCAGCTTTCATTATTATTAATTTTTTTCATTGTTATTTTTTAATGCATTAAAAAAAAAAAACTACTGTACAATCAGTATTTTACCAAAAAAAAAAAATTTTTTTTTTCACTGAGAATCACACTCAGGATGGTGTATTTGTCAGACAGAAGCTTGTGCCACTGAGCTACATCCCCGGTCCTCAAAATCTTTAAAATGTCAAAAATACTGGAACAAAGCTGATTACTTTTAGTAACATCCCTAACTCAGTAGGTACCTGTGAGAAGCTTGATAAAATGTGGAAATTATTTTTTTTTCCCTCTTGAAAAGACAGAAACCTAACTAGCATGAATAGCAAGATCCATAACAGCTTAACAGTTTTCACTTACTATTTCTCCTAGTAGGACCACATTTTCTCCTCTGACCACAAAAATCCCTCGAGGAATATCACCGTATTTTTTGCCCACATGAATACGTTCCACAGTCTGATGTAGCACTAAGTTAGCTATAAGTGCACAGGGAAGAAACAAAGATATTTAGTTCATATTATTGGGGGAAGGTCTAGCAATTATTCAGTTATGGCATTTTGAGAAGAAAAGATTTTACTAAACAAAATTTCCAAATTTTCTAATTCTGACAAAAACAAAAATTTCAAAGTAATCTTTTATTTCACTGAGTAAGACATACAATTTAGGAAATCTTTTTTTAAGACAGGTTTTTTTTTTTTAACTACTATACAGTTCAAGCTGGCCTAGAACTCAGCAATCCTCTTGCCTCAGCATCCCAAGTACTGGGATTATAAGCATGTGCCACTGCACCCAGCTCTTATCTATTTTCCCTCTACTTAGGAAACCTTTAAAGATTGAGATTACTTTGGATTATGTTGAATAAGTCATGAATGATAGCACAAATAAATTCTGAAATATAAATTCTAGTATTAACTGCTAATATCAACATGGCTACAAAAATAAATACACACACACACACACACACACACACACACAGGAATTTAGAACACCTGAGCCTAAACAACCACCAAAATTAAACTGTTTTTTTGAAGGAAAGGACTTTTCTCTGTTGCACGTATGTGACTTTAACCTAGTGTTATGTATCCATGGATTATGACACAGGAAAAACTTTTTTTCCATTTAGTCAGATAAACATCCCTGGTAATCTGAAACTCAATATTTACTCTTTACATCTCAAAGTACTATATAAATTTAAAATTCAGAACTCTAATGTGTTAAAAATAATTATTTTTCTTCTTTCTATTATTTGAAGTAAAGCAGAAACCTACGTCATACCTTGTTTCTTTTTCTGACAAGAGGTTTTGCTTGGATGGTCAGGGAGAGCTTAAACTCCTAAGCTCAAGTGTCCCTACTACCTCAGCCTCCTGACTAGCTGAGACTACAGGTGCACGCCACCATGCCCTGGTATCTTTTATAATTCTTGCATTTCACTTACGTTGTTTTTTTCCATGTTCGAAACTAGTAATCTTAACAAGTACCTTAACAACACAGATGTGAACTGAGAAGTTCTTAGAAACATAGATGTCTTAACTTTAGAAAAATATAGACTGCAAAACAAAAGATGTACACTCCTGAGTTTGCTGGATCCCTACATGTAAAATATCAAGTTTAACATTAAGCTTCAGGAAATGCCTTTCACCCACTTTTCACTGGACAGGGAGGGATTACCTTTAGTGCAGGAAGTGCTTTGAAGAGTAGGAGCACCCAAGCCAATGTACAAATGAGCAGCCTTTCAGTGGACTGAGTTTATTTCTACCATTTGGCTCCCTCTAACGGGGGAAATAAAAAAACAGTCCAAAACATGGTAGTGAAGACCAGCTTAGAAACATGCGCCTATAGATATACAAGCTTTTGCAACATATAATCATAATGTAGAAAACAATGATTTACTCACTCAACACAATCCCATTACGCCAGACACGTGTAGAAAATGTGCAGATAAATTTTAGTAAGAAATAACAAAAAAATGCAATAGGTGGCTCTTACAGTCTAGAGAATTAAAGGGGAAGTCCATAGTTAATACATACCAAATTGATCAATGCTTCTTAAAAAGCCTATAAGTGTTCTTCCATCTCGTAGCAGGACCAAATGTTTTTCTGAAGGGATAAAAAAAGATCTTTAGAACGCTGTCTGCCTCAGTGAAACCATAAATAGTTTAATCTGTACTACTTCTCCTGGTGATGCAGTTAAGGTGAAGTTCATTGGGAAAATGGCAGCAGTACCATGGCAGCCAGGCACTGGACTAGAGTTCAGTGTGAGAAGAATTGTGCATCAGGGTTAGAAAGCTGACCCAACCTCCTGTTAACCGTCTCAGTGCCATGTTGCTTTGTGTATCTGAAAATTGAGAAACTTAGTCCAGATGATCTTTATGATCTTAATCTTAGACTTTCAATCTAAAATACTTTCACCGGGCATGGCAATACACACTGTAATCCCAGCAACCAGGGAAGCTGAGGCAGGAAGATTGCAAGTTGGAGGTGGGTTGGGGCATTTTAGTGAGACCTTGTCTCAAAAATAAATTGACAGGGTTGGGGACATAGCTTAGTGACACAAGTACATGCCTGGCAAGTGCAAGGACCTGGGTTCGATCCCCGGCATATCCCTAGGCCCTTGAGCCATGCTGGCCACTGAAACCAGGCGTGGTGGTACATGCCTGTAATCCCAGGGCTGCAGAGGCTGACACAGGAGGATCACTATGAGTCCGAGCTGTGTAGTGAGACCCTGTACCAAATAAGTAAATGATTTTTTAAAAATAAAAATGAGAACATGACAATATGCTAGAGAAGAAATTTAATATTTACTGAGAATTATATTCGGTTCTGGAGTCTCAAAATACATGAGATCAACCTTATGAATTTCATTGTAGGGAAAGACAAAAACTACATATTCTGATTAGTACAACAGAATAAAAAGGTACCATGAGATGGGCAGGTGAAGTTACAGAAGCCAGGGAAGCTAGGGTGGCGAGGGAAACTCTGCACAGGTAGCTGTGAGACAAGACTGAACGACAAGAATCCACTTTTTGGAGAAGTGAGAGTTGTCAGCCGTTAATTTATGTAACGTCAAGCATAAAGTTTCTGGATATAGAAGAGAGGGGAAGTGATTTTTCCCTTGGAGGAATTTACTGTATTCCTTAGGCTGTAATTAAGTACCATGAGCAAATAAATCTTAATTACATGAGACTTTAGGCAGAGAAACTGTTTCCACCTGGAACAGGTACTGGAGTTGGACCCAAAAAGTAAATAAACTTCGGCCATGAGAAAGGAAGAAAAATCTGTAAAACAGGCAGAAGTCAAAAAAGAAAAAAAGATTGTATATCCATCTGTGTGGCTAAAAGATATAAAGACAAAGGGAAATAAAAAGAGCTAAAGTCAGAAAAGTACTGAGGGAACTGCCCATGATAGTGTACATCTGTAATTCCAGCACTTGGAAGGCTGAGGCAGGAAGACTGCCAGTTTGAGGTCAGCCTGGGCTGAACAGTGAATTCAAGGCTGACCTCGACTACACAGCAAGACTCTGTCACAAAATAAAACAAAACTATTGGGGAAGGCTGAATTGGGATTTGACTTCAGGAAATACTGAAGATTCACTAACTGGTAAACAAGAGCAGTTTATGAGGCTCAAATCCATATAGGAGACCCTTAGGGATTTAGAGAACACAGCAAACCAAACTCACAACTCAGATCACCTGTTTTGGGAAACACAGAGTCACAAAATAAGAAAATCAGCAACCAGTATTACAGAAAGCAAGAATGCCCAGAATGAAGAATCCTATGACGATAGTATCATAATGTTACCGAGCTGAAAACTCAGAGGAGGGTCCCAGACTGACATCTGAAGAATGTAGCTTCACTAGTGTGCTCACAGCAAAGATTAGATTTCAGGGGCAAGGTGGTCAGGAGATACAGTCAAAAAGGGATGACTCAAGATAGTAACAAAGAGGGATGGCTGGTGGAAAAGACAGCAGATAGGAAAGAACAATGCAGAGTGGAAGCTTCCTGAAGCAAAGAGCATTACATAAGGAGTAGTACTTCTTTCCAAATGAGGGGGTGAAAATACAGAAAAGAAGGAAAAAAAGACGGAAAGAAAGAAAATACAGAAAGAGGGAAGACATAGGAGAAAGTATGTGTGCCTAAGATTTGGGAAGTGAACGGTATAGCGAATGGTTTTAAATTTTTCAGTAAAGGAGGGACTTGCAATCCACAAACAGGTACAGTTTAGTGGGATTGACAAAGTAGTAGGATGTGTTAGGGCATTGGTCTGTAACCTTTTTGCCACTAGGGTCTGATTTCTTGGAAGACAATATTCCTAGGGTGGGTGGACTACATGGGGATTTTGGAATGATTAAAGAGCACGCAGCCAAAATCCCTCCCACTTGCAGTTCACTGTAGGCTCAGGCTCCTATGAGAATCTAAGGTTACAGCTGATCTGACAGGAGGTGGAGCTCGAGCGCTAATTCCAGCAATAGGCAGCGGCTGTAAATAACTCAGGAAGCTTTAGTCCTGCCTCCGGCTGTGCAGCTGGGTTCCTAACAGGCCACAGACCCGGCCAGAGGTTAGAGACCCCTGTGTTGGGGCTTCGGATAACTGAGATTTATCAGAGATAAAGGTCATGCTCAAACAACTAAAATAAGTTATATTCTTCTGACTTATAGATATGTTTATAAAGTGGTTATTATAGTATTTGGTTGAAATTACATTAATGATCTCAGATAACTATAAAATGAGAAAGTGAACATAGACTCACTCTAACCTGCATAGTTACAGTAACTATGGACACAAGCAGGGCGATCCTTTTAGTAAAGTAAAATTATTTAACAAAAAAAAAGTTCGAAGTAACATAGTCTTTCTAGGAAGTACCATGTCTGGCTCACTACCATAACGTGAAAGTGCTAATGACTCTCACAATAAAGGCCACTTGCAAGTGGTTACACAACAGAAAGCCCACTTTAACTGCTAATTAAATCTAACTGCTGTTGTCTCAATGTTTTTGCAGTTTTTATGTACTGATACTTCAAAATATTGTAGGTGGAAGACAGTGGACGCGGGAGAGGTCTGCTGGGTCACCTTTGCCTTCAGGCCTCGGCTGCCACAAGCCTCGGCAGCAAGAATGAATTCCACACCGAGGGCTGGCGTGGATCGCGGGGGAGAGGGGTGTGGAGCAAGGCGGCAGGCGCGGAGCCGAGGCTGTCAACGCGGCCGCCTAGCTCTCAGCGCGGAGCACAGCGCCGGCCCGGGCTCTCTCCACGAGCTCCCTCACAAGTGGCGCCCGCCCGAGAAGGGGCCGCCCCGGCTTCGCCGGGAAGAGACGAGCTACTCACTGTCGATGTCCTCAATGAGGCTGGCGGTGCCGGGCATATAGTTCATTTTGAACTTAGCTGAGGCTGTGATGGATAGCGGAGGTGGGACAGCGCGTCTGACACCTCCTGCCTCCCACCGCAGTCGCCACCTTGGCGGGACCGGGAGAACCCCGACCCAGACCAACACTTTTGCTCCGGCGTGCCGCGGCCCCCGCCTGCCGGAAGCGCCTTCATCTTCCCCACCCACTTCCGGTTACCGCAAACCCGTTCCCCGGAAGAGGAGAGCCAGCTAGGCATCCGGGTACACAGCTCTACCAACCCTGATAAGCGGGGAAGAAGAATACAGGTTGGATAGACAGTACGAAAATGTATGTTCCCATTTAAGAACACGGCCCCTGGTCCTCTCCGCCCTCGTCTGAAGCCCTGCGAACTCGGGTCGCGGTCCTTCAACGCCCCCAGCTCGGCGGCAGGAGGGGCGGGACCCGGCCTGGGATTGGCTGTTGTCGTCCGACCCCCTTCAGTGCTGTCCTGTCCCACTCGCCCTGCAGCGCCTGCGCAGTGGGCCGCCGTGGGGGCGGGGCGGGAAGCGCTTCAGGGCGGCGGAGCCCATGTCTGCCCTGAGGCGCTCGGGCTACGGCCCCAGTGACGGTCCGTCCTACGGCCGCTACTATGGGCCGGGGGGTGGGGATGTGCCCGTGCATGTACCTCCACCCTTGTATCCTCTTCGCCCCGAACCTCCCCAACCCCCCATTTCGTGGCGGGTGCGCGGGGGCGGCCCGGAGACCACCTGGCCCGAAGGAGGAGGCGGCGATGGCTACTATTCCTCTGGGGGCGTCTGGCCAGAACCTGGTCGAGCTGCTGGAAGTCACCAAGTGAGCTTTGCACCGTTTGTCCTGGGGGAACCAACAGGGGGTATCTTTGGTGGTGGGAGGTGAGGGCCGTTGGGGGTTTGTAGCTCCAGGGTTTGTCGTGGCCCGGGTTTCTTTTCTTTTTTGCGTGGGGTGGGGTGTGTGTTGAAGAGATCTGTGGGAGGAAACGCTTATTCCTTTACCCGACGTTTCTGCTTCGGCCACTCGGTGTTTGTATATTACCATTAAAAGGGTGAAAAAGATGCTGCGTTGACTGCCTAAGCATAGTAGCTAGCTGCGGGTCTCTGCGCGGGCGCCGTTGCTGGAGTGACTGGGCTCTGCTCGAGCTGTGGCAATTTATCCAGCGTGGCCAGGGTGACTGTAGCCTCCGCCTGTCGCTCGGCAAACCCTCCCGAGGGAAGGAAGCCTGAATGAGGGGAGAGGTGCCCGGGCGTTTAGCCCTTTGCTCCTACAACTTTGCTGAGATTGACTCTTGCGGTAGTCAGTGTTGTAAAAGCATCTTTACGTGCATTATTTTATTTAACAGTAACAAATTTCAAAGTGCGTGTTATTATGGCACCTTATTTTCAAATTAAGAAGGTGGCTCTGAGAGGTAACATCTCTGTATACCAGCCAGAAATACGTTTCTGTTTTGTTAATGCAGTATTTTTACCAGGAGGCGATCATTATTATAGTATGGAATCACACTTCTTTCGTTCAAGAGATGCAACTTCCTCATTTGGTGAAAATGTAATAGTGAAATTCTCATACATTGCTGGTGGGATTGTAAAATGATATCTATTTGGGAAGATAGTTTGGCAGTTTTTCAAAATATGAGTAGTATTGTGTGTTCACTCTTGGGTGTATACCCAAGATAATTGAAAATATATTCTCGTTAAAACTTTACACACATGTTGATAGCACCATTATTGTTCATAATAGCCCAAAGTAGAAATAAGACAAATGCCCAGCAACTGATGAATGGATTAATAACAAAATTGATATATTCATTCAATAGAATATTGTTGGGTCACAGGCTTGAAGTACAAGTGCACACCACAACGTTTATGTAAAATGGCACAGGAGGCAAATTTACGGAGACAGTAATGTTAGTGTTTGCCAGAGGTTTGGGGACTGGAGATACTGAGCAGCTTATAGAGTTGTGGGTTTTTTGATTTTTTTTTTTTCTTTATTTTTTGAGATGGAGTCTTGCAGTGTAGTTTAGGCTGGCTTTGCAGTCACTGCAGCAGTCTTTCTGCCACAGTTTCCTGAGTGCTGGGATTATACAGCATGTTTTTTGGATTTTTTTTTTTTTAAGTTATGAAATGTTCTCAGTTCAGTGGTGATGGTTGCACAAGTGTAAATGTGTTAAAGATCACTGAGTTGAGTGGCTTCCACACCTCCAATGGGGGGGGTTTATTTTTATTTTACATTTTTAAAAAATGTATTTGGTACAGGATCTCACTACGCAGCTTGGACTAGTAGTAATCCTCCTATTTTCAGCCTCCCCAGCACTGAGAATACAGGCATGCATCACCATGCCCAGACTCAGTAGCTGGCACTCAGTAGCTGGCTCAGCCCACCAGCTTGGCACACCAGCTGAGCGGGGAGTGGGGGTGGTGGTGGTAAGGCATGTGGAATCAAACCCCAGTCGTTGTGCTTACCTAAGCAGGCCCTTAATCTGCTGAGCTATCTCGCCAGCGCTAATGGGTGGATTTTATGTGTTAACTATATCTCAAAAATTGTATGAGAAAAAAATGTGTGCCAGTGAGAGGAAGGATCCATATTTTCTGTGCTTGGTGAATGAAATGATTGGCCTGTGTCTCATTTACTCTTCTCTCATTGCTGGGATGAATACCAGACACCCAAAATGAAGGAAGGAAAGGTTTATTTAGCTCATAGTTACTTCAGGTTTTAACCCCTACTCAGCTGGCTCCAAGGCAGAATGACACAGGGCAGAGAACAACTGTTCATTGTGGCAGCAAAGGGCAGAGAGCAAATGAGAGAAGTAGTGGTAACAATGGCTACCGAGGGCAAGTCTGTCTCTCTCTTAATGGTACTTTCAGGCTGTCTGCCCTGGGCTGGGTGTAGCACTCACACCCATAATTCCAGCAGTACTCAGACCCATAATCCCAGCCTTGGATCAAAAATTAATCACAAATGCTAAAAGCCCATGCCAGGATTTACATGAGACTTTTGGGGGACAACTAGACACAAACCATAATAGCCTATAAGTACCCAACTTAAAGATCACTTAAAGAGAAATAGAAGGGGACCTTTGAAGTGCTGACTTACTTTTGTTGAACTTGCTGTGTTATTAAAGCAAAAATGTGTTTGCTTGGGTAGAGCTAAGAACAGTTCAGACAGACTCAAAAAGTTAAGACTTGTACAGGCAGCTGTGCTTGGTAGTTGGAGGTAAAACTGGATGTGTGTAATGGGCATTTGAAAAATTCGTACTTTATTTTTGAGGTTGGTGATTTTAAAACTCTAAAAAGTATGGGATGAGACCCTCTTACACAGTAGTAGAAAACTATTTCAAAAGATATGCATTGTCTTTATTGTTTTCAATATGTTTTATGATTTTGTGTTGTCAAATTGATCAAACTAAAAAATTACCAAAAAAACCCCTTAAAATATTGCTGTTTAAAAATTGTACTTTATGGACTAGAAGCTTCAGTGTCTCTCGTGCACCCACTGGAAATGCAGAAATCTGTCTTTTTCCAGATGTTCTGCTGCAGCTTATTAAGATCCCCAGTGATTTACATTCATGTTAATGTTTAAGAGGCACTGCAGTATAAAATTGGCTGAATGAGATACTGAACCACAAAAAAGATTTAACTACATTAACATATTTAAATGTGGCAGGGGAAAATTAGAAATGTACCATTTTCTCCTTTTTTTTTTTTTTTTTAAGCTTTGAAGAATAAAAGTTTTCCTACCCTGCTAACTGCCTAGAAAGTATAGTGAAAGCTAGAAATGGTAATGCCCAGCACTTGGAAGGCTGAGACAGGAGGATCATCATGAGTTAGAGGCCAGTCTCTGCTACATATGAGACCCTGTCTTGGGGGCCAGGGAGATGACTCATGTCTCAAACAAAACTAAGGGCTGGCCTGATAGCTCAGGGGACTAAAGTGCTGCTTTGGCAGAGCACAGCAGGTAGGGCTTCCATCCCAGGTGATCGTGCTGGCCCTGCTCCCGGGGCATGCTGAGATGGTGATTGAGACTGGGCATGGTGACAGGGAGCCTGTAATCTCAGCACTTGGGAGGCTGAAAACAGGAGAATCACTGCAAGTCCGATCTATGTAGTGAGACCCTATAGACCCTGTAGACCCTGTCCTAAATACAGAGAGAGGAAAAAAGAGAGAGAGAGAGAGAGAGAGAGAGAGAGAGAGAGAGAGAGAGAAAGAGAAACAAGAAGGTATAGTGTAGGTACCAGTATGTTTACCCTGTAGTCTGGTTCCTGACCCAGCAGCATGTGTATCCTGTAGGAGCTTGTTGGAAATGTGATGTTTTAGGTCCTATCCCAGTGCTAACAAGACCCGTAGGAAATTTGCCTATTTTCCCAGACAAGTTATCAAGAAAGCATGCCAAAGCAGATTGGCAGTTGCTTAATAACCTCAACTTGGAAGTGACACACTGTCCCTTTCACCATCTGTGACCTGTCTTAGAACATTGCAGTACCATGTAGGAGGAGAGGAGATAGAGAATATTGTAGTTATATTAGGGAACAGCTGTATCAGGAGGGAAACTCAGTTGAATTTCCAGAGGAGTTCAGAGGAGAGATACATAACAAACACATGCATCTGAGCTGTGTCTAAATGTACAGATTTTGGGCTGGGGACATAGCTCAGTAGAATAAGCACTTGCCTGGCAAGTGCAGGGTCCTGAGTTCAATCCCCTGTACCACTAAATAAATAAATAAATAAATAAATGTACAGATCTTTCCCTAACATTTTATTATCTAAATTCCAAACATACAGACAAGTTGAAAAAGTTTTAAGTGAATACCTATGTTTGTACCAGCTAGGTTCTATAGTGAGCACTCTACATTTGCTTTTATCACATCTATGCATTTTGGTTCTTGGATGCATTGATAGATTTGAAAGATTTTTTTTTTAAGGTGGTTTGGCAGTGTAGTTCAGGCTAGTCTTGAACTCACTGTGTAGCTCAGGTTGCCTTTTTTTAAAAAATTTATTTATTTAGTGTGTGTGTGTGTGTGTGTGGCCAGCTCAGCCCACCAGGGGGCGGGGCTGGCTGGCATGTGGTGCTGGGGATTGAACCGAGGTCCCTGTGCTTTGCTAAGCTTGTTCTAAGTAGGTGCTTTAGACCGCTGAGCCATCTCACCAGCCCTCAGGTTGCCTTTGACCTCATGTCAGTCGTCCTACTTCAGCCTCCCA